AGAGAGAGAGAGAGAGAGAGAGAGAGAGAGAGAGAGAGAGAGAGAGAGAGAGAGAGAGAGAGAGAGAGAGAGAGAGAGAGAGAGAGGTGGAGAAGAGAAGAGGGCGTGCTCGATGGATTTATGAGTAAACGTGCGGTTGAACCCATGCCCAAACGCGTGTATGTTCGGGTGGTGCTCCAGGGAACATGTTTGTTGCCAAGGGGAAATGACAAAGGGGAAGTTAAGGAATAGGAAAGGATGAGTAGGTGAAGAGGAGGCAAGAGAGCATTGGAAGAAGGCCAAAGAAATGAAGAAAAGGCGATGAGAACTTTCTTGCCAGCTGCAGGTGGCACGCATTTGTGCAGGTGGGCATGATGTGATGCCTGCACGTCAATCGCAGCCAACTCTCACACCTACCACTATATTGCGTAAGGGGTAGAAAACTTTCAGAGCAAACACTTAGATAAAACAAGGGGTAAATCGTACCTCTATTTTTTGTAAGGGGTAGAAAACTTTCAGAGCAAACACTTAGATAAAACAAGGGGTAAATCGTGATTCGTGTGTGCAAAATTGCAAATATCAGGCAGTCGTTCAAATTTGATAGGAGTGGTTTGGATGAGCCTGATGGGAACTGTAGGGATTTTGTACCTAATAGATAGACAGACTGTTGAACAGCTCAAGCGAAATCAACTCGTGCCATGAAGACCGTGGTGTCTGTTAAAGGCAAAATGCAGGGTGACGACCACCCAATAGGGAGACAGACTGGTGAACAGCTCAAGTGAAATTAACGCTTGTCATGCAGCAGCCCGCATGCAAGGTGCCTGTGAAGAGTGACATAGAGGGTATCACCCACCCTATAGAGAGACGGACTGCCGAACAGCGCAAGGGTAGCCCACCCTTGCCATGCAGACCCTAGGCAAGGTGTCTGTGAAGAGAGACGTATAACGACAGGCAAGTTGTCTGTAAAGAGTGACGAACGGGGTAATGACCACGCGATAGGGAGAGGGACAGACTGTTGAACAGCACAAGTGAAGTCGGCTCGGCACTTGCCATGCAGACTACAGGCAAGGTAGCTGTGAAGAGGGACATACAGGGTACCAACCACCTGAAGGGACATTCGGCTCCGCTGAAAGAGGCTTACTTAGCTGGGTCATGGACTTCTCAGGGCTTCTCTGAAAGCACAACTTAAGGCTCATCGCTCCTCTGAAATGCTCTTGAGAGGGGTGATTGAGATAGTAGGCCTCTAAAGCAACAGCACGTTCTTGTTGTAGGAGGAAGGTGGTCTCTACTGGTGGATGCAGTGTTTTCATTCTCAGCCATGGGGAGGTGATGATGCAAGTGTGGCGTGCTTACTTAGTCAGATCTTGGCATCATGTTCAACAGGTTATAGCTGTTGAATTCTCGGTGTGATGTTCCTGACAGGTGTACTTGGATGGATTTGTTCGAGGAGGTGTACTCGGGCGTAAATGGTGTCGGAATGGTGGGTCTGGTCGTTGTTAGGAATGTCACGTTTGCAGGCAAATCATACGGCAATGCTCTGTTCTTGACAGTTCAGTCGGAAGCACCTCATCGCCATGGATGGTCATAGCAGACGTACAAGGAACATTAGCTAGATGGTGATGCGAGGATGAATTGCAGTGTCGCAGTACTCGCCATGTATTCCTCATTTTGTGTGAGAAGAAGCTGGACGGCACATGGGGTATGTACTCTGCGGTATCGCTCCGTTGAACATTGCAAGCTTGCTTAGAGGCTTTCTTGTCAGAAAGCCCTCCCGAATCGTTATCCATTTTTGGATGGATGTCACCGTTCGACGGAACATGGCAGTAATGGA